AAACAAAAGGCGGCTGGGCGCGAAACAATTAAAAACGTTACGCCCGATCGCTCTCCACCGTTCTCCCTTTCTCTGCTTTTTTTTTTTGTCTCTCCCACCTCCGTGACTCTTCACCCCCTACCGATCTCTCCTGTCTCTGTTTTTTTCTCGGTGGCTTGCTCTTTAACCATCCCTGCAGGGGCAGATCCGGTCGTCTCTCTCTCGCCAACGGGGTTTCTCGCCCCTCTCGACGCAGGAAAACACACGGACGGGTGAAACCGACGCCCACACGTCCGCGAACAAAAGGGAATCGCGACGATTTAATGACTGATCGGGCTGTTGCTCGCTGCGCGTTGCCCCTCGACCACGTTGCATTCAACGACTTCGTTCCTCCTTCCCGCGTTCCTTCGTCCGCGTTTTTATCCAATGATTTCGCTGTTGCAACAACCGACATCCTCCTGTTCGCGCGTCGATGATTCGTTAATCGTCAAGTACTTTCTCAATCATTTTTCTATCGATTTACTTGTACATCGTTCGTTAAGAGATTTTTCAATATTTTTTATATTACATCACATTCCGAAGTAACAGAAATATGGCACGTTTTGGTAACCCGATTTCTTTCGAAAAAGGCTCACCCTTTCAATTTCCCAATTCTACGATATTTCCCAGCCGAACGTCGGCGTCTACTAATTCTTCCGGCTGTGAGCTTTTTGTCTCGCGGTTTTTCTCCTCGCTCTCAATACTTTCTTCCGGCGCGGGATCTCGAGGAGCGCCGATCACCGACCGCTGCTATTTTCCGGGCGTATCGATACGTAATAATGAGAGTCCTTTTCACGTTCCCCGTGCACGCTGCACCGCACTTCGGTAACTGGATTTTTTTCTTTTCCCTCGCACCCGTCGCATCCGCGTTAATTATCCATCGACTGGATTATTGGAGCGGTGATGTACAATTTTTAATGATTTCACAAGATTTGTTTCCATTAGTATAATGATCAAAATCCAGACGGTCAAATATTCCAGAAAACAGAATTGTATCAGACCTGTTTAAGATTGTATGAACCCTGCATAGAAACAGTGATTAGATATTACATTAATAAAACACTGCAAAATTTTAGAAATTTTGCGAGCCTATTAAAAAAGTTATTACATCTTGAATTCTCATGTCGAATGACAGACTTTTGATTTCATTTATAGAAAAATATGAATGCAACAATGACAGAATTTTGTAATTTTGTACAATTCTTAATAGATGATTTAAGAATATTGTAAAGTTGAAATAATGTCAATTTCAAAGATATTATTTAAGATATAGGATAAAAAGTATGCAAAAGTAAGAATTATAGGACTCGTAGACAGTTGCACGTACAATCCAATAAAAAATGCTAAAACTGTGTATTAGAATATTAGAAATTATGCATTAAAAATTCCTTATGACCGAGAAAAACAGGTCGAATTTTATAAACCTAATTCCTCTGTAATTATCATTTTTTCTAAGAGCTCATTGCTTTAAATGTTGGACGTTTATTACATGTCTCAAGTTTTTGGCAGAGATCTTACGGCTCATACAACCTTTAGAGTCAGTGTCATTTTTTATTAATTATCGCAGCAATTAGATCATCATTGAGATCGTTATATTAAATAAAATACACATTTACTCAATTTATTTCCACCACAGAATGAAATGAATAAATAAGAAATGATTCGAACGAAACGAGTTTAATATTAAAGTATAAAATCGACGAGTCTCTCGTTGATTCGAATGCAACGTGTCGTACGAGGAAGAAGCGATGACGCAGCGGGGGTTCGCGTGTTATCCCCAGCGACGGGAAAAAAGGGTTTGGAATTCGGGCAATAAATAACCCTTCGAGGCGTTACAGTTATCAGCGGCAGCGTCGGTCACGAGCCCGTGTGCGCGACCCCTAATACGAGGGTCGTAGAAGCCACCCACTATGAATTATCATTTCCTATTGTCCGGAAGATCGTAAAATAACCGGCTGCTCGCGACTTTCCAAGCTCTGTTCTCTACGAGTTTCGCCGGATTCGAACTTAAATAATGAACCACTTCAAATGATATTCACTTATTCTATCAAACGACTTGAAGTGATAATAAAAATTCACTGATAAACTCTATTAAAAGTGGAATATATTTTTTACAAGGATCGTCCGTCTCTTAAATTCATATCGCAAACATTTTGTGAAAACATTTAGAATAACATTTTTATTAAACTTCGTCGGAGGTGAAGTGGATTTTTTAAAAGTCTGACTCTTACATCGACGTTGCGAACGTATTATTCCAAACGGAGTTCGCCAGATCTCGTAAACGTATCAGCTGCATCTACAGTTGGCGGGACAATTATCAAAAGCTGTCTCAAACATTGTCTTTGCAACAAATGCTTTGACCAGCGAACGGTGACACGGAGATTCGAAAAAGTTTCCGGGACGTCGCGGCGGAGGACCCTTCAAGATTCACCCCCGGCTGCGCGCAACGCGATACCATCGCGACGAGAAGAAGAAGCTGGCTAGGGTGCCGGGGAGGAAACGAGAACCCGGGCGCGCACGGTCGAGTGAAATAATTTCCTGGTGTCCTCCGCAGCCGCCGAAAGAGGAAGAACGGAAGCGGACTCTGGTCTTTCACAAAGTTTCGCGGACACTCGAAGAAGCTTCTACTGTGAGAAACTGCCGGATAATGGTCCCCAGACGAACGAGAGCCGATCCTGGAAGAGGATAAAGGGTGCACCGCGCGCGTACACACAAAAGACGTTCTTACGTTCGCTGGTCTACCACCGCGGGCCGTATCCCTCACATATCCTTGCGTATACGTCCTCGATCACGAGTCTCGAGACATGTAAACCATATCACCAAACGAGATATTCAAAGAACTTCTACGGGCAAACGAACATTTTATTCGATGATCAAAGGCGAATTCCTTATGCTTAAAAAAAGATTTTTTTTATCAAAGTTTAATCAGATTAAAGAATTATGCATTTTTTGTATATTCTTCGTTGATTGTTACATGACAATCATTATTCTGTTAATACTGAAATTGCCCATTATTTATTGTACGACGCATGCAGACGATTTACTTTTATTTTTCTCTTATTTGGAATAATAAGATTTCTGAATGACGTGTATACATAAGATGGAAATCTAAATTATCATTGCCAAACTCGGTTGTACTTTTGATACGCAAACGGGATTACCCTCCGACATGGTATCTGTTCTTAAACGTTTTCTTCGAGGGGATTCGCTTCTTTCCTCGTCGAGGGACCTTCGAGTGGAACCGATCGACTTTAAATTGGGAAAATTGAGACACTTGTTTGCGATTTAAATCTGATATTTGAGGAACAGCTGGAAGCTACTTGGGACAATTGAAAAATTGGTTGGTCTCGTGGAATTCGCCAGGACTTGAAATTTTACAATTAGACAGAAACGATGTAATGAAAACGCACATATTATATACAAGCGATGACGCAATAATTATAGAATTCCTAATTTATAATTTAATAATTCATTCGTGAATTATTTAAACGAGATGTTTAATATTCTACGAGGACTATGTCCGGTGTGTTTGAAGGAAACCGCATTTCGTATGCATCGATTTAATTCCAATGTGAGACTGAATGGTATAAAAGGTGTATGATACAATACCGTATCATCGCCGAGAGAATCTCGAGAGGCTGGCGGGGCAACCCTCTCCTGGCAACCTCAGAATCTTAGTAAGAATACAGGAGACCGTCGAAGCAACCAACCAGCCAGCCAGCCGAGAATCCCCTGCGGTGGCAGGCACTGGCCCGAGAAATTCAATTACGGCTAAACTTCTCGACTGAAGACGCGGCTCGTCTGTACACACTACTGTAAGCACTCTGTTTCGAAGATCGAATTGAACCGGTGGAGCAGAGGAAGGCGTGTGTTCGCGACGACCCTTCCACAGGGACACGGTACGTGTCCACGCGAGGGCGTGGGTGTAATCGAAACCAAGGGACCCGAGTTTCTACTCTTCGCCTTTCCAACTTTCCTCGGGGAAGGGTCGAGTCCGACGTTAGATCGTTCCTTTCTCCTTGCGTTCCGCGTTCAAAGGAATTCTTTATTTCCCAATGCAGATTTTCATTCAATGAAACGATTTAAAGAACGATACGTTTACTCGATTCTGACAATCCGCACGTCGACATTAGAGATTCGTTGAGCGAAACGATAAGAGCGGAATTTCCGAATTTTCATCCGAGTTCTGGTCGTAGAGAATCGTAGCTATTATTTTTGAAAATGATTCTGTGACGGGTTGAGAATATTGGGAAGGTAGTTTTCTTGAAGAGGAACAGAAGTGGCACGCACTCCGTTGGTCGTGGCGGTTCAGGTGAAGAACGGCACGCGTACGAGCTTCACGGAGGGTGAGAATCAGCTAGGAAGAAACGAGAAGGAAGTTCTCGTGAGGGTCGCGAGAATTAAAGAGAGAGTGTACAACGCTAGGGTACACGCTAACGAGTACGCGAGACGCAAGCTTTGAGTAGTATAATAAGAGGCCCGGGAGTTTGGCCATTATTTACTCAACGTTATGGTCTCTGGCCACTTGCCCTATTTAGCAACGCGTACGTTCACGCACGTTTCTAATGGGCACTCGTACGCAACTGAACCGTGCTAAACGCATGCGCTCGCTCACGGCTCTTGGTCGCGTGCCACATTTTTGCTGCTCCTATCGCAGCTCCACGCGATTGTTTGTTACAAACCTTCGCGATCGAACGTCGTATAAGAACGTCATTACATTGTATAGAAATCGGTTAACGTTCCTAGGAGCTACGAACGATTGAGACGATCGTAGGTTTCCGGAGTTCAATTGAATTTCTACATGCCTCCAAACTTTTCACTGACAAACCGTTTCTAACGTGAACTAAAAAAATGATATCTAAACGAGAACTTTTGTTGTCCGACGACAAAGACAGGCTCTTCACTTCTTGGACACATAAATATTCCATGAATACGTGAAATCTAATTATAAAAATATATTCCATCGATCTAATCGAACTTACCGCCAATTCCACCGACGATAGACTCCTGCTTCTCCACTTTCGGCTGTCTGTACTCGTCCTGAGGGAGCCTTTTCCGCTGCAGGAGGCCGCAGTCGGGCTGCTGATGGAGTTGCGTTTGGATGTGAGCCGCGGCGGCGGCGGCTGCGGCTGCTGCGGCCGCCGGAATCGCCAATCCTGCCGGACTCGCTACGTGGGCCGGGTGCGGGGGCGGGCTACCAGCTGGCGTGGTACCGCTCGCTGCACCGGGTAACACAGGGCCGGTGGTGCAGCTGCCCGCGTTGTACTGCAACTGCAGGCCCAACTCCCGGGCCTCGCTCTCCTCCTGAGCCTGCTGTCTCCGCAACGCGACCTGTTTCCAACATTTCGTATCCTCGTTAGAAATTATGCTCGTGTCAACGATAAATCGTATCAATGACACGTGATAGATCTAATAAAAATTAATAATAAAAAACTGAATTTCATTACATTAAAACAACATTATTTATTTCTTTGTATTGTGAACCGAATTGCTACTATAAATATGACAAGAAAAGGCAAGGGTAAAAAAGAAGGGTGTAAGAACATTAGTATGTGTGTGTGAAGGGAGAGTT